GCACCCCACTACACACTTCCCTCCATATAGATGCAGTTCCATTGAGGACCACTCGCTGAGTACATATAGTTCAGTGGTTCTGAGATCACATCTGCCAGTTCTTTGAGAACCTTGAGGTGTAATCCATCTGGTCCTGGTGATTTGAGCTCATCTAGGCTGGATAGATGCTCACTTACCATTTACTTGCCTATCTTAATTTGTGTTTCTATTCTGTTTTTTATGGCACTATTTTTGATAGGTTCATCTGTTTTTTCCCTTTGTGTAAAGACAGATGCAAAGAATGAGTTAAATAGTTCTGCTTTGTCCCTATTGCTTGTCATCTTCTTGCCACTTTCACCCACTAATGGACCAATCATTTCCTTCACTTTTTTCTTGTTTTTTACATGTTAAAAGAAGCTTTTTTATTTTTTGACTTTGGTCGCAAGCCTTAGTTCATTTTGAGCCTTAGCTTTCCTCACTTCATCTTTGCAGGCTCAGACTATTTGTTGATATTCTGACTTAGTTATGTGCCCCTCTTTCCACTTTCTATACTTGTCCTTTTTATCTTTCAATTTATCAGAGAGTTCTTCATGCAGCCATGCTGGTTTCTTTTGAGAGTTGTTATTTTTCCTCTTTGTTGGTATTGTGCTGAAGTGGGCTTTTATTATCTCACTTTTCAAAATTTCCCAAGCTTCTTGAGTTGTTTTCCCCTGGAGGATTCTCATCTATGGAGTCCTTCCCAAGGCCTCTCTACGTTTATTGAAATTAGCTCTCTTGAAGTCCAAAACTCTAGTTTGACTGTGTTCTGTTGCTTATGCTTCCATAATGATGAATTCTAATATTGCATGATCACTTCCTCCCAAGGTTCCTGTGGCTTCAACACCTTCTATCATTTCATCTCAGTGAGAATTAGATCCAAAATGGCTAATCCCCTAGTTTCCTTCTCTACTTTTTGGGAGACAAAGTTGTCTTCTAGGTTTGTCAGGAACCTGTTTGATCTTCCACTTGGCGGAGAGTTTGTCTCCCAGTTGATGTCAGGGTAGTTAAAGTCCCCCATTACTACTGTGATTTGCTTCCTACATACCTTAGCTAGCTGACTAGCAAAAAGTTCATCTATTTCCTCTGTTTGGTTGGGTGGCTTATAGTATACACCTATGGCAATGTCATTTTTTTCTCCCTTTTATATTGACCCATTCAAGACAGTTTTCATCATTGTTGTGCTCTATTTCTGTAGAGATGTAGTTATTTCTTATATAGAGAGCAACTCCACCTCCTCTTTTATTTGGTCTGTTTCTTTTAAATAATTTAAATCCCTCTAGCTGTGTGTTCCATTTGTGGGTTTCATTCCACCATGTTTCCGTAATGGCAACAATATCATATCTGCCCTCATTAACCTGAATTTCTAGTTCACCCTGTTTGTGCTGTGGATCTGAACATTGGGACTAAATTTCTGGTCTTTTAACCCCCAACCCGTGTGTGTGTGTGTGTGTGTGTGTGTGTGTGTGTGTGTTTGTGTGTGTGTGTGTGTGTGTGTGTATTTAAGACTCCTGAGATGCTAATTCAGCTTTGCACTTCTGCATGGACAGCTCCTGCCCACGCACCCACTGCCTCCCAAAGATGGAGCAGCTTCTGCTTTTCTCTTTTGTGAAAATAACTTGCAGGCTTTTGTTGAGTAAAATGGCCATAGTTTCCTCTTGCAGAGCAGAAAGCTAGGGAAAGATCCCGTTTCACCAAACAGGCCTCAGGCAGAGGAATCTGAGAACATAAAAGCACCTACTGAAATCACAAAGATTTTTTGTCCAGTGTACAAGTCCTGGTGGACAAGGAAAAGAGAACTTTACTGACTGATGTTGCAACTGAGGCTCAAACATTGTGGTTTGGGGAACTACCCAAGTGGTACCAGGAAGTTTGCAATTGGAGATGGCCTCCCCTTCTCCCCCCCCTCCCCTGGCAAGCAGGTTAGTCCATGCCACATTGTTCAGATCTTCAAGTCACTGGTAACTAGAAGTTGGGACCAGACAATCACACCCAGAAGCTCCAGAGAGATTTGTGTGGCTCGACCTCTTCCTTCCTAGCTCTGCATATGCAATCAGATCTGCTGAACCATTCAAGGGTTCAGCCCAGAGCTGCAGAAATGGTCCAATCCAGTAAAATCTCATCTCAAGTATTCAAATTCAGTGCTCCGTTTGGAGGGGGGAAATGGCAGACTGTTCTTCAATCTTATACGAACACCAGAAAATGTTTATTTCATCAGAGCGAGAAAAATGCAGTCAAATTATATATAAGTTTGGGGATTTTCTCAGCTATATTCCCTTCAAATCCAGGTTGTCTAAGAAGGGCTACTAGCTTTATTGTTTGAGGATAGAAATTATCCTGTGTGAGGGAAATCCATGCCAAGTATCACAGGCACATTGAATAATTTTGTGCACAAAGGGTTTTAAGAAAGAGTTGTCACCCACACCACACACACACACTTATACACAGGAATGCAGTGGAGTTGAGTCTGAGGCAGTGCTGCAAGAAATGAACTTGCTAGCAAGGAAAGCTTAAAAGTAGAGAGTGAGAGAAGTAGAGGCCCTGAGCAAAGACAACGGAGGGGACATTGGATGCTGCCTGCCTCTCAAGAATTCAGGAAATGGAGTAATTGTCTTAAATTACAGGAAAGCAGATTCTGACTGAATGCTAGAAAAACCATGAAGAGCAGTTGACAGAGAGGCAATTATCCCCTGCACTGGATGCATTCAAGGAGATCTTGGACAGTCCTCTCTGAGGAACTCCCATGTGAGTTTCTGCACTGGGTGGGGGAAGCCCTTGACGGCCTCAGCAGCCCCTCCTAGCATTCTGGTATCTACTCCAGCTGAGAGCTTCTGAATTATACTCTACAAGGACCAAGAATAGTTGTTCCACTGATTGATGATTATGTGTCATCAACTTAGTGTTAACTTTTAGTGACCACAGATAGAGTTTCTCCAGGACAATCTAGCCTGGTCTTTCAACAGGGCTTCCATCCCCTTTGCAATGGAGTACATCCACCTTGCTGCTGCTGGCCCTCTTCTTCTCTTTCCTTCCACTTTTCTCAGCATTAGATCCTTCTCCAAAGAGCTCCATCTTCATCGTGTGTCTGAACTAGAACAATTTGAGCCTGGCCATTTGTGCCTCAAGTGAAAACTCTGGGTTGATTATTTTCAAACCCATCAGTTTGTTTCCTTGGCTGTCCATTGTATTCTCAGGAGCCTTGTCCAACACTAACGTTCAAAGGCCTCAATACTCTTCCTATCTTGCTTCTTAAAAATCCAGTATTCACTTCCGCAGAATGTTACAGGGAATATCATGCACAATTCTGATCTTTTTAGGTAGAGACGTTATTATGTGCCAGTCTGCAACGTATTTCTTGACTGCTTGTTCCTTGACTATTGGTCTGATCCTAAAAGGCAGAAGTTACTCTCCACTTCGTTATTTTCATTGTCAGTTCTCAGGCTGGCAGTTTTATTTTTTGTCATTACTTTGGTCTTCTTTATATTTTAGTTCCATTTTATCATGGTGTGGCTTGATTCTTAGACTTTGCAAATTCTTTCATTTTTGGGCAATCAGGATGGTGCATCAGCATGGTGCAGATGATTGATCCTTCTTCCTCCAGTTTTAAAACCATACTCATCTTCTCCATTCCAGTTTCCCATAAAATATATATTCTGTATGTATAAATAAACAAGGGGGAGGTGTACAGCCTTGTTGCCCTTCTTTGCCAACTTGGAGCAAGTCTTTTTCACCATGTTCTTCTCTCTGTACTGTGGTTTCCTGGCCTGTATATAAGTTTTGCATGATGTCAATGAAATGTTCTGGGATTCCCATTTTTCTGAGAACTTTTCACATCTTGACACGACCAACACAATCAAAGTTTTTCTATAATCACTGGAGCCTATATTGACTTATTTTGGGTATTCCTTGGCTAAGGTACCACAACACACATTGCAAAATGTGTCTGGATGCAGCTTTAACACCGATTCCCAATGGAAAGCCGAATGGGTCAGTGAATGCCCAGTCATAGGAAGACATATAAATGACCCACAAGAAAGGTGCCAAACTTTAAAGTACCACTTCAGCAATGGACAATCCTGAATAGGATTCACACCTCGTATGGTGTCTGCCAGGGCTCTCTGTATAAATGGGGCAAAGTATCCTCCCCCCTCCGACGGTGGGTTCCCACATCAAACTATGGATCCGATCATGACCGACTGTAAGCTGAGGACATAGACCCGTTCAGTATCTGATTCTTTTTAGATAAAACGATGCTGTGTTTCAGTGTCTAGATGGTCTAGCCCAGGGGTAGGCAACCCAAAACACTCAAAGAGCCACTTGGACCCGTTTCCCACCAAAAACAAAATACCGGGAGCCGCAAAACCCTTTTGATATCTAAAATGAAGATAACACTGCATATATCCTTTTTTACCTTTATTATAAGTGTGTGTGTGTGTGTGTGTGTGCGCGCGCGTGTGTATGTATGTATGTGCGTGTGTACACACACACACACACACTAAAAAAAAAGTAAAAATATGACTCTTGGGAATATCCATACTATTAAAACAATGATCACCAAGAGAATGCTTTAAGAGAATAAAATTACATACACACACAGGTTAAAAAAAGGATATATGCAGTGTTATCTTCATTTTAGATGTCAAAAGGGTCTCTCTCTCTCTGTCTCTCTCCCTCCCTCCCTATCTGCCCTTGGTCTGCCACTCCTCTTCCCCCACTCTCTCTCTCTCTCTCTCTCTCTCTCTCTCTCTCTCTCTCCCTCCCTCCCTCTCTCTTTCTCTCTCTCTCTTTCTCCCCTCCCTCCTATCTGCTGCTCACCTGGCAAGCTTCAAGCTATTGTCCAACAAGATCAGGGGTAAGCAATCTCGTCTCTTTTATGACTCATGGACTTCGACTCCCAGAATTCCTGAGTCAGCCTAGCTGGGCTAGCTAGCTCTCTCCTGCCCTTCCTGCTTCCTGCTTCCTGCTTCCTGCAGAGACGCAGCAAAGGGAGGAGCTCCGCCCAGAAAGCTTTTCAGCTCCTCGGAGAACGCTGTGAGTGCACTCTCTTTTACACACACACACACACACACGCACACACAAAACACACACACACACACACACACCCAGACACACACACACATACACACAGAGAGAGAGAGAAGCAGGGAAGCGCAATTGCCTCTCTCTGTCTCTGTCTCTCTCTGCAAAGGCAGAGGAGGCTGGGAGCCACAGGGGAAGGCTCAGAGAGCCGCATGCGGCTCCGGAGCCGCAGGTTGCCGACCTGTGGTCTAGACAGTGGCATTTGAACATAGATCTTATTAACATATATATTGTATTGTGTTCTAATAATCCTGTTGAAATGTTAATATATATGGCTAGTCCATGTATGATATGCCATACATTAAATAAATAAATAATACAGACTGCAAGACTTGCAATATGCCGATGACAGGATTTTACTATCATATTAGTAAGTTGGCTTGTATAGTCTGTTAAGGAGACTTGATTACTATTGTTATAGCAATTATTAATAAAAGAAAGTCAAAAATCATGATTTTCAGGAAGTGATATCACAACATAGAGGGCTTTTAGATGGTGAGCCAATATAACATGTCAACATCTTTTCTTACCTAGGAGTTGTCTTCTTCTCTGAAACTGGATTTTGTCTCCCTCATAATCAAAGGAGCTCACTCATGGTGAGGGTATGTGTGAATTCTCAATTAAAATTAGGAAATCATTGCTACCCAGGTTCCTTAGCCCCAGTTATTAAGGTGTACAACGCTCATGCTCTTCTATAGAGCTGATGTTTAAGGCTTAAAAAACATGCTGTTATTAGAACAAACACAACCACAGCATCTGAGAAGTATCCCAGGAAATCTTTTTAGGCCAGGGACTGCTCAGGGCAAGGGGTCACAGAGCTGTTCTCTCCACATTGATCAGTCTTCTCGATTCTCCATCAAGTCCATCATGACTCCAGTTTTGGGCTGAGAACCTTCTTTCCCTTTTCAGGACCTTTAAGAAATGGAAAGAACTGCTCTTTTCAGCAATACCACTGACAGCTGCCTTAAACTATGACAGTGGTGGGACTAGATGGTCTCCAGCTGACGCTTATCCTGTAATAGCATTTATATTAGTTTCTAGTGGATTGTGGGTACTATAGTCTTACTTTCACTGTGCTTAAACAGAAGTACAAATCAAATAAAAATCTGGCCTTTTTTGCTTCTCTCATGCCTTACTAATACCAATTGTGAGTTGAGATACTTATTCTACTTGGACTTTCCTCCAAATTCAGAAACTGCATAAGGACACCGTTCTCTATAAAGATCCTTTGTTTCCCAGCAAGCCAATATGTTTCATTTTTGGCCTTGTGGCTTCAACAAATTAGAGCTTGGGCTCCAATCATATCACTTATTATAACTCCCTTTAGCTTGGTTCAGATGAAAGGCTCTAACACTCAATTAAGGGCAGACTGTTTGCTAATAGTTGGAGAGATATTTAATAGAAGTAGACAGAAAGTAACATGCTTGAGGTTGAGGGGAGGGGAATCTGAAGAGCTTCAGAAAGAAGGAAGAGTCCTTACTGTTAACAACAATAAATAAAATTTCCAGCTTAAATAAACTCTCAAACACGCCATCTAGAAAAGCAGGTTACAAGGAATTCCAGATTTCTAGGGAGAGAAGCCATCACCTTGACGATAACACCTCAATGAAAAAAAAAACCAACCAACACATCCACATTTATCTTTAATATCCAGTGTACAGATAGAAATAATCCACATGAATCTATATTCTGTCATCATAAAGTCATAAACATTTGTGAAATCATATACATTAACAATAATTAAATAAAATGAATACAGGATTTTAATGCTAAATCTATTATTTTTGGTGGGTTTTGATGCCCTTAGATATGACGTCCTTTGGAACTTTTTGAAATATTCAAGGTCTTGGAGACGCTATATATCAGGGAGTGGAATCCTTCCTGTTGGGTTGAGTCCAGGTGGTGGTGCTATTAGAAGTTAAAAGTACTTCTCTCTCTCTCCCTCTCCCTCCCTCCCTCCCTCCCTCCCTCCCTTTCTCTCTCTGATATCCTGATTTCTCAAAGCAGCATTCATAACATCCATCACCACTTCACAACCAAATTAGATTGCTACAAGGTTCAAAAATGGGCTGCCTGAGGTGAACCAAAGTGCTTAAAATCCAGATGTAACAGATCCTAGAGTTGGTCTATTACAGGAGTTGTATCTTCTTGCCAAGGCAGATCTGTACCTCTGAAGGCTTTGTGATTTTTTTGCTACCTCTCAATTTTTAGACATGGTGGTGGAGAGGTGAACATTTGTTGCATAACTTTTAGTGCACCAGCTGTGTTGACCCTTACCTAGCTGGCATTAGAAAGCATTATCTACACCTTGGTTATAGTATTAAGTTTAGACTAGTATAAAATGTTCTAGAAGCTCCCATTTGTTTTTTTTTTCTTCCAGAAACTGCTTATGGCCTGTTATCCAAGACTCAGCATAACTAGATACTTGGAACTGAAGAGAAGAAATTTTGTGAAGCATTTCTACAGTAAGCTTGACAGCTGGAAAAATATTGATCGAGATTCTCCAGACCCCCATCACATCCAAGAAAATGTCATCTGTGGCAACATGAAGTTATCCACAAAGGAAATGGCTCTATAAGAAAATGGAGGCTCCTCCAAGGATGGCATCGTCTCCCTATAGCTCCTTTGCTCCCCCACAGACAAGGGCCATGGAGAGGAAGGGCCCTGCTGTCTTCTTCAACAAGTGAATTCTGAAAACTGGGGAATTCTCAGAATGGGAAATTCTTAAAACATTTGCATTTCCAATAACTGACCCATTTGTAGTATGGAAAATTCTTTCCCATTCTCTATAACAAATGTGGCCTACTGAAATGACACAATCTGCTTAAAATCTTGTAATACTTTGCTCATTTCTTGCCCACTTTGCCAAGCCCATCAACCTCTCATATGTTTGCCATTTTCTCTTGGAAATCGGCCCTGCCTGAGACACCCTGGCCACATTCAGAACCGCCTCTCTGCATGCCTGCAGGATTTGAATGGAGTACCTCGCAGACAGTACACTTCCCCTGATCTGTCGGGGATGCACAAAGCTTCTCTGAGAAATTGTCTCCAGCTTTCTGAAAATAGTTTGGCTTCCCCCCCCCCCAAATTCTTCAACAGATCTTCTTCAAATCCCAGCTCGGAAGTCAACTGCAATGAGTGAGAAAGAACCTTTTTCCTCCCAGGAAGATGTGGTGGGGACGGTATTGAGTAGTTCAGACATTCTGGCCAGGAGAGCATCTTGAAAGCTGCAGCTCCCTGATGACGTGGATGTCATTGCCCATAAAGAATATTCCGTGAAGAACAGCTGCACACCAAGGCAAGCATTACTCACCAAGGATCTCCTCCTCGTTTATTTGTTGTGAATGACTGAAGACTCCAACCTGCTTTTGCCAAGTGTCTGTCAGCAGAATTGGAGTTCTGCTCAAAATCTGAGTTTAGAATCCACAAGAGTTTAATTCCTGCTCTAAACTACAATTCTGATATATATGTGGGAACTTGCAAAAGCAAATGTAATGAGATGCTCTGAATCCAGAGAAATAACTAAAATTCTACAGAGCAGACGTCTCCAAGTTTGGCTGTGTACCCTTGCTGTACCAGTAACAAAAGAATGCTCCCCAATGTGCTTATTTGTAGATTATAGACATGGAGAAGCATTCAAATGTGTTATGCATATTATAGGTCTAGTCTACATATTATGTATTGGTGTAGCTGAATTTCTTATTTTACATATCAAGCTAAACTTAAATAGATACTGTAATATTTCCATCCATAGCCAAGTGGTCCATCCTGTTCCTCAATCTGGAGATCACTAGCATTAGCATCTCCTCTGCTGGATGCTTTATTGAGTCCAATGACCTGATTCCAATCTCAATGTATTCAGACTAAGCTAATTTCAGTTAGTCTCCATTAAAACAAGTGGAAATTCTCCATAACTCAGTTTTCTTTTTTTTGTAGCTTTCATAAAAAAACCATTTCAACTAACTTAATAACTAACTTAACTTCAACTTAATCCAAATCAATAGACAGGACCCTGGACCTCAGAGCAGCCGGAAGGAGCACCTCCTCCAATGCCCTGTGCCTGTGTGTGCTTTGTTTGCACCAAGGTGCTGTGTGTGCCCTTGCTGAAGAGCACTGTGTCTTTAAAGAGACGTTGGCCCCTGTGGACTGAAGCAGCGGTGTCCCTCCAGATGTCAGGGAACACAGCTGGTGTCTTAGGGGTTGCCGAGGGAAAGGGCTGCTAGGCAGAGCAGTGCAGAGGAACTTCTGGCAGGAGAAATGTCTCATAGCAGGGCGACAATGGACTCCCCATCCTGGAGTTCTTAGAGATACTTTGTAGAGTGGTGGGTTTGGGGAATTCCTATCACATGGTCATTTGCAAGAGAGGGTCAAAGGGGGAGGAGAAACACGGCATGAATGGGTAACGTTTTAATGCATGCCGGGATGGGTTGATCTGTTGGACTGGATCTAAGGGAGGCTGGGAACCAATGCAACTGAACCAAAAGGAATTGCCAGTCTCTGCCTTGCCAGACAGGTGGATGGCTCTTCAGCTTGGCAGAGAAGAAAGGCCTCCCACTGACCTGGCATGGAGGGATAGGAGAGGAATCAGCCCCCCGATAAGCGGAGGGAACAATTGTCCTGCCTAAGCCTAGTTCAGTGAGCAGGAATCAAACTACTCATCCTCCCCCCCCCCCGCCAGTGAAAAGCATGTTCTTCTAGACATGATGAACCCTGGCTGGCTGTTCAGCCACCCCCACTTCATTTGTGGCTAGAGCCTCCACCGGATTCTCTGGGGAAGTAAATCCCAGGCATTCGAGGTCAAGGAGCTCACCCTGAAATAGGGGATGGTTTTGGGTGCAGCAGAATATTTGCAATTTTCAAGGAAAAAGAGGGTTCCAGAGTGTACAACAGGCTGCTGATATAGATAGGTATAGATGGGCCAGGCAGAGGAAGGAAAGAGAGGAAGAACCAACCACCCAACTCTGGCAGTGCCAAAGGGGGAATAAGTAGCTGGGCTGGAAGGGGAGCTGAAGGAGGATCGCACAAGGGACAGTGGTGTGTTTATTCTGCTGGGCTGTTGATGCTGATTCTTCCATTGGGGAAGCAGAATGAAACCAAAGGAAGCTCCCATTGGCACAGGAATGAAAGTGCCACACATCCCGAGAAGGCGTTTGGTCAGGACTTAAATGTGCTTTAAAGATTGTGCTCAAACACCTTGGCAGCCTTACTAAACACCCCCACAAATGAGTCAAGGAAGCCACAGCCCTGATGTGGCGAGAGAGAAAGCATTAGCCAAGTTTTGCTCCCAAGAGTTGGGAGCTGAACCAGATGGGTCTCCTCCTTTTCTCCCTGATGCGTGCTTCTCTTTGGGATGCTGTGGGGCCCAGGGGCCAGCTCTCCCTCCCTGACTGTGCCCGGCTGGCTTATAGACCCCACTTGGGCAGGCAGATGCCCTCAAAGGGAGACGAAGGTCTCCCATACCATGACAGTGGAGGTCATGTGATAGGCTGCCCATCCAACCCGCTCTGGCCATTTGTTGCGGGCCCAACTTCCCATAGGGCTCCAACTTCATTGGAGCATCCCTGGGAGATGCAGGATACCCCAGCCTTTGGGCTCCAGCCCCACACTTCCTCTCCCAAACTCTACTGAGACCCACTTTTCCCTGACATTTGCAGGCATAGTTTTGACAGCGCCTCCATTCTTGCAGAAGATCTTCTCTCCATGGAAAGCATCTAAACAGGGGACACAATATCCCCATGCTATCGAGTCCTTGCCCACTACTTAAATGTCTTAAATGCATTCTTCTTAAATAGCTAGTAGCACTTCTCTCCTTCAAGAGCTTCTTCCATCTGCAGAAATGAGCTCTGCCCACAGATTCCACACTGACTGTGCAGGTAGCTCACATTCTCAGAATACTCTGTTGACTTTTTGCAAGATGACAGAGAAGAAACTGAGGCCTCTCTTCTCTTACAAAATTTCCTTGAATGGCATCCATGGGCAGCAAGAGCTCCAAAGCCCTTCTGGGTGACACCAAAAAGGCATGGCAGACTCCTGTCTGGTGGGATCTTCACTTCCTCTGCCCCCCCCCGTCCTCTCTGCCCTTTTGCCCTGTTCCCTCTCTCCTCCCCAGCCCCATAGATCATATTCTGAGGCAGACTGAAGTGACCTTGGAGAAGGAGACACAGAAACACAGACTTGAACACTGGGCACTAACTAACAAAATGAAATTCAATGGTGAAAAAAGCAAGGTTCTACATTTAGGCAAGAAAAACCAAATGCACAAGTACAGCATAGGTGGCACCATGCTCAATAGTAGTAACTGTGAGAGGGACCTCGGAGTCCTAGTAGACAATCACTTAAATATGAGCCAGCAGTGTGCGGCAGCTGCCAAAAAGGCCAACACAGTCTAGGCTGCATTAACAGAGGGATAGAATCAAGATCATGTGAAGTATTAATACCACTCTTCAATGCCTTGGTAAGGCCACACTTGGAATACTGCATCCAGTTTTGGTCACCACGATGTAAAAAAGATGTTGATACTCTAGAAAGAGTACAGAGAAGAGCAACAAAGATGATTAGGGGACTGGAGGCTAAAACATATAAGGAAAGGTTGCTGGAATTGGGTATGTCTAGTTTAATGAACAGAAGGACAAGGGGGGACATGATAGCAGTATTCCAATATCTCAGGGGCTGCCATAAAGAAGAGGGAATCAAGCTATTTTCCAAAGCACCTGAAGGAAGTGGGGAAGGATTAGAGAGGGTGGACGCAGCCTGGGGGTAATGACAGGCGGTACCAATGGTTAGGAATTTAATTGTATTTAGTATGAATAAATGGAAAATGAAAACTTTTTAATAATAAAAAAAGAAGCAACGGGTGGAAACTAATCAAGGAGAGAAACAACCTAGAACTAAGGAGAAACTTCCTGACAGTGAGAACAATTAACCAGTGGAACAACCTGCCTCCAGAAGCAGTAAATGCTCCAACACTGGAAGTTTTTAAGAAGAGACTGGACAGCCATTTGTCCGAAATGGTGTAGGGTTTCCTGCCTGAGCAGGGGGTTGGACTAGATGACCTCCAAGGTCCCTTCCAACTTTATTATTATTATGGATCATCGCACAGTCAGCCAGATGTTCAGACTGGATTTGGCATTTTGTCTACCTATCGAGTCCTTACCCAGGACCTGGGATAGGCAGATGTGGATGTTTGATGGTATTACAGATATCGTCGCAGGATGGAAGCAGTTCCTAGTAAGGCCGCCTTTTGCAATTGACTAATAGCGAATTTGTCAATGCCAATGGTGTTCAAGTGGTGCTCCAGTTGTTTTGGGATTGCACCCAAGGAGCCTATGACTATTGGTACTACCCTTGCTTGCTTTTGCCACAGTCTTTCTATTTCTATTTGTAGGTCTTTGTATTTTGTTATCTTCTCCAGTTCTTTCTCTTCTATTCTGCTGTCTCCAGGCACTGCCACGTCCACTATCCAGACTTTTTTGTCTTTCTTATCGACAATTGTTAAGTCTGGGGTGTTATGTTGCAGGTGCTTGTCTGTTTGAATTCTGAAGTCCCAGAGCAGTTTAATTTTATCATTTTCTATGACTTTCTCTATTTTATGATCCCACCAGTTTTTGCTTACAGGCAAATGATATTTTTTGCAGATCTTCCAATGCACCATTGTTGCTACTTTGTCATGCCGCTGCTTGTAGTCAGTCTGTGCAATCTTCTTGCAACAGCTTACCAGGTGGTCCACTGTTTCTTCAGCTTCTTTGCATAGGCGGCACTTACTGTCTGTTGCTGTCTTCTCAATTTTGACTTTGTATGCATTTGTCCTTAAGGCTTGGTCTTGTGCAGCCAGAATTAGTCCCTCGGTCTCTTTCTTCAATTTTCCTGCTCTTAGCCGTTGCCAGGTCTTGTTATTATCTGCTTTCCCAGCTATTTTTTTTTTTTTATTAAAAAGTTTTATAAATTTTACAGAAAATAAAAGACAACACAAAAACAAAAAACAACATATACAAATAAAAACAAACATTACCCAACAAAACCCCCCTTCCCCCACCCCTACCCAAACCCCCCCTTCCCCCCCCCAGGGCCTCCCAGAGCAGAATATAGGCTTAATTAAAAAAAATTAAAAAAATTATATTTATAAAAAAAGAATATAAAATAGAAAATATATATATATATAAAGTTAAAAATTATGAAAAAACTATATAGTATTTTTATATCAAATTTAAATTGTATGAATTTTATCCATTTATCCCAAACAGCAAGAAATTTCTCTTGCATTTGACCCTTTAAGAAAGCCGAAATCTTTGCCATTTCCGCCAAATGAGACACTTTAAGAAACCATTCCTGCAATGTAGGCAAAGATTCCTTCTTCCAATATTGTCCTACTAACAGCCTCGCAGCTGTAATCAAATTTAACATCAATATAACCTCCTTTGTATCACAATCAATAACTATACCTAACAAAAATAATTGTGGAGTAAATTTTACCCTCCTTTTAAAAATTCTCTGTATATTCCACCATATCTTAATCCAGAATGCTTTTATCTCTCTGCACGACCACCAAATATGATAATAAGTAGCGTCCATACAACCACATCTCCAACATTTAGGTCTTTCTTATAGGCCAGTTTGGTCTCTCCAGTGGTTAGTAAGCCTTCCTGATATACTAATTTCAGTACATCTTCATCATTGTTCTTCAGATATTCTTCCAAAGCCATTTTTTCTTCTTCAACCATCTGATGTACTTGTAGCATTCCACGCCCACCTATTTGCCTTGGTAGATAAAGTCTATCAATGTCACTGCGTGGATGAAGGGCATGATTCATTGTCATTATTTTTCTGGTCTGCCTATCCATTGCTTTTAGTTCTGCTTGAG